TGTGTTACATGACATTTAAATTGTTTAAAAGTTGAAAAGTTGCAAGTGAAATAATATTTGTTTACGTTTTTAATCATCGTTTATTTGATTTAGTTACATGGTTTTTTATATATTTTTTTTGAGCTTTGTTATAGTTAACTTAATTGGTTTTTTATTTATTATTATTTTTTTGTTCAAGTTATTTAATTATAATGTTCATTATTAAAGAAAAACAACAATGAAAAAAATTAAGCTTAGTTACACTTTTTAGTTATTATTCTTTTTTTATTCTTTATAGTTGTAATAATAATAAATATTAAAAAAAGAGTCAAGCTATGTTACAAAGAAAATCTGGCCAAAGCATTTTCTAAACGGACATTCAAAGGTAACCAACACACACAAAAACACAAGAAGAACCAGCTGAGATTCCTCCTTCTAACCCACCTATTTCTTCAAATAAATCTGTCATATTTATCATGAGGCACATCATTACCTTCTAAAATCACAAATGAAGCCAGGTCAACAAACTTTGCATCACCTTCATTCACCAATGACACCAGTTTGTTTCCTTGTGTAAATTCTTCAAACCCAACTGTATATTATTGATATTTTATACTTTTTTATATTAACATTTTTATGGAAATTATTAATTTAGTTGCAACATGCCCTGAATGTGACAAAAAGACTATGAGTCGAACATTTAACGTCTTGAGAAAGCAAGGCTTGTCTATACCATTATTGTTACAATGTTCAAGTTGTTGTTGGGGTGCAACTTTTCATTCAAGTAAAGAATGTAAATGCAAAAGCAGTCGTGGTAGACCTGTTTCAGGTTTATGTACGTTTTTTTATTGCTATGAGGGAAATTTGAAAAAGTTATACCACTTTAGAAAAACTCTGTGGATGAAAAAAGTAATTGGAACAGTGCTTTTCCATTGCTCTTAAGCAAAAGATATTATAAGAATATAGATGGTATCAAATGTGCCCATGTACTCCTGATAGTTGCTGTAAATATCAGGCTGACAAAATAAATGGCATAGCAACATACAAACATAAGGGAGGAATTACCAATTGTTGTCCTTGAAGAAATAAAACCTGTTTTTTTCAGGTTTGAGTGATGACAATTTATAAAAAAATATCTTTATGGCAAAACTTAAAATAACTAATAAATAAATGAGTCACTAAATGGAATGATTTGGAAAGGGTTTCAAAAAAATATATACATTTGTAAAACCACTGTTGAGCTAGGTGTAGCTTCTGCAGTTACAAATTTTAATGATAGTTCAAATGGAACTCTAAAGGTTTTAAAGGGCATAGGTGTTCCAGAGTTTTATGCAAATCAGTTCTGTGTTTCAAATAACGACCAAATTGTCAATGTCAATGGAATGGAAATCGAAAAAAGTATATTCAAAGAGTTCATAAAAGGTTTCAAAAATACTAATCAATCAGAAGAAATGAAGTATGGTTATGGTTTATATTAGAGATTTTTATTATTTTTTATTTACGGTGATCAATCATGAAAATCTTCTTTTTTTTGAATCTTTAAAAGAAATTTAGTGATATTTTAGTATATTATTACTTAAATTGCGTTTATCTCAAAATGAAATTTTTTGAATGGTGCGTCATATAACTTTTGATTGATTTGAGCTTTATTCTTGAAATTTTATATGGTGGTTATTTTTTATAAGATACAGGTTTAGAACCAACATTTTTTGAAAAAAATTTTTTCGGTCCAGAGTTACCCAAGCCCAAAGTTTTATTTTTAAGCCTTTTTATAAGCAAGATATTTGAATTTTATTTACCTTAGATCTAGTTATGCAATCAGGCTAATTCTGCTCCCATACCTGTAAAATTATACTATAAACAAACTGTAAAAATTTTGTTATCATTCTACAGGTGGTTTTTTCTAAATTTGACGCACCGCAAAGTGACCATTTTGAGACCTTTGGACCCAAAAAAGGGTTTTCTGTAAAAATTTTTCTTTTTTTTAAAAAAAAAAGGCATAGTTACCTGTATATAATTGTTGTACCAAAATATCAAATTTAAATAGTAAGAAATAAGGAATTTGGATTTTTCACCCAAGTACCACCTTAATAACTCACCCTGGTAATGTTTTTTTTTTAAATTAAGTTTTTAATGCATTTATATTTTGAAATTTATCTCTTTTAAATGCAAAACATAATATTTTTGATGGATAACGTCAGCTATTAAAATTCTAACCTTTTATTTTTATAAAAACTGAACAAATATTTTATGTGCCTCTGGCTACACGGACGTTTAGATATTAGAAAAAAGCGGAAAGTTGTTATACGCAAGCGTAGTAGGATTTTATCAACTTGAGAAAATAAAAAATGGCTACGGACCCTCAGCCAGTTCCGGATCAAGGGGGATGGGGGTTTTAGCCCCGGGCCCTGCTGGGGCTCAAGAAGTCTTAATTCGCCTTTGCCACCTAAACACAAAAAAACTTTTTTTTTGTGATTTGTTTACAATTTTTAAAATACTTTTGCTCATTATTTGAGCGTTAAAATATTTTTTGTTGTTGTTGTTTAAATTATTTAAGATTTTAATCTTTTTAGTAGTTGGTTTAGTTAAGCGGATTTTTTATTCTACATGAAAGGATAAAACATTTTGCGCTAAACTTGTAATAAATTAACAATCTTTAACAAACTCTCTAAATTTTTCATATACTTTCGTATATGTTAGAGGATTTCCATCTTAGGTGTATCTTTTATTTTATTAATATGTTGTATGTGTTGTAATCTCTCAAATTTTTATTTATTACTTTCTAATTTTATTAGTCGCAGTGGCAGCGATTATAGTTAAAATTTCTTTTCCAATCTTTTAATAATCTGTACCTACTACATTAAGTGCAAATATATTTAAGTTTATAATTTTGTGTAAATTGAATTAAATAAAGATATTCAACTTTCTTTGTAAAAACCATTGATTAATAATTCGTTCTTTTTTAATTGACATTTTTTTTGGGTCACTTTGCTGCTCATAAATTAATGTTTTTAACTGTTGAGATTATCTCGAAATTAGAAAAAATGAGGTCAGCAATATATTGCTGACGTTATTTTTTTCTAATTTCGAGGATTTTAAAGCGATGACAAACCTTTAGTTGCGTTGCGTCCCAGCGTAGAAGTAAAAAACAGATCGAGTTGAACTGCATTCCCAGTAAACATTTGGACGTCCACTAGACGTACATTGGACGTCCGTTTTGGACGAACGGACGTCTGTTTTGGACGTCCTTAG